GAGAGAGAGAGAGAGAGAGAGAGAGAGAGAGAGAGAGAGAGAGAGAGAGAGAGAGAGAGAGAGAGAGAGAGGGAGAGAGCGCTGCACAGGGACGACACATGGAACATGGATGGAAAAAAAAAGCGGGGGGGCCTTGGGCGGGTAGCATTATTCCATCTGCCGGGATTTGAACTGCCGGTCTGTGTATGTCTACAGTTACATGTGTATACCATTCACGCTCGAGGCTGTGTGTGTGTGTGTGTGTGTGTGTGTGTGTGTGTGTGTGTGATCATGTTCGTTATTATATACCCAACTACACAAACACGCACAAAAACAAGCACGACTGTGTCAGACTCTTTCGTTGGACTTTTACGGATCGATCAGCAGGTTAAAACCGGACGGTGTGCCTAGGATGCATTTGACTGATGGATGAGGACTCACCACGTCGTCCAGAGTTACCCGCACATTCCAGCAATGAATCTCGGCGCTATTATGGTCGGATTCATTCTAACAACTACCATTAGCAATATGACTGTGCTCTGCGACCACAAGGCTGACAACTGAGGAATCCTGGGATTTTTGGCTGAATGTAACTGTTGTCACGGCTAGATTCAGTCCATAAGCGTCCCATCGTGCGAGTTTGCTCAAGTTCACAAAGCTGCCTAACGGAACCTTGGGATTTTAGGCTGAATATTAATGCTTTTACGGGCAGATTCAGTCCCATAAGTCGACGATGCGCATGGACGGAGGAGGAGGGAGGATCAACGGAGAGGATGGAGGGTGGTAGAGGAGGAGGGAGGCATACGACCATGGTGGAAACAAGAAAGAGTGGATGGACGACGACGGAGTATGGATGGAGTTGGGAGGAAGGAGGGCGAAGGGAAGAGGATCTGTGTGTGTGTGTGTGTGTGTGTGTGTGTGTGTGTGTGTGTGTGTGTGTGTGTGACTAATCTCAATCTCAAGTGATGAACGGAGTGGAGTGTCCCCTCTCTTTTTCGAAGGTTTTTTTTTTTTACTGCAGTGAGTGGCCAAAGGGGAATCAGGCGAAGTAACTTTTGGAACGGCCCCCTGAGATGGGTAACTGCCGAAGTAAGGGACGTACAGGATTGGGGCCACGTCCTGAGTACTTCGAATGAGGAAGAAGGCGGAAAAAAAAAAAACTTTTTTTTCTTCTTCAATTAGCCCAATTTAGCCAAGCATTGTTACAACATGTCCGTCAAACGGACGTACAGAATTGGGGCCACGTGATTCCGCAATCATCTAGAAAAATATTAAAAAAAAGAAAGGTCCGGAGTACATATGGAAAAAAAATAAAAAAAAAAGAAGTCTAGGAAAAGATTCAAAATCCACAGGGGTGAATCTGGTGTGAAGCCTGACCGCTGGAGATCTGAATTTTATCTTACCACACACACACCAAAAAAAAAAAAAAAAAAAAAAAAAAAAAAACATGCACGCACATACACACAACCACACAGAGAAGGAGAGAGAGAGAGAGAGAGAGCGAGAGAGAGAGAGAGAGAGAGAGAGAGAGAGAGAGAGAGAGAG